CTTTCCCTCTCTGGTCAAGTTAAAAAAACACAGTGATGATAATAAATTAAATAAAATAATTTAAAAATACAGACCACTCTGAAATTAAATCAGCTCTGATGACTAAGATGTTAATAATCGCCCTTTTGTGGGCCTGCTAGCTGGTAAAAAATGAAAGTACAAGCATGTATACTAACAGTAGATGTAGTTTGGGGGCAGCCTGTGAATTTTGAATGCTTTAAAAAAATGAAAACTTTTTTGTTTTGTTTTTTACTTGCCAGAGGGCATGTGGGCTCACCAGACACAGAAAGACAGAGATAGGGAGAGAGAGAAAACACCCTCAGGATGGGGCAGTTACCCCATAACCCCTTCTCCATTTCTCCGTCCTGGTAGGATTTTGAGGCAGTTACCCCATAACCCCTTCTTCTCCATTTCTCCGTCCTGGTAGGATTTTGGGTATATAGGCACATGTGCCTCGTGTGTTCTTCAAGCCACCAGAGCCAGGATTTGAACAATGGTCATCCATTTGGGATCTGGCTTCCTTCACCACTAGGCCTGGGGCTGGAATGAAGAGTTACTAATTTTGACAAAAACTATAAAAAGGCCATTGCTATGTTGCACTGGTAGCTTCCTGCGCAAGGCTGGAAGCCACATGGCCAACAGTGGGTTCAGATCCCTGGCCAGCTTGAAAATAAGCAGGGCCCGTGGCTGTGGGAAATCTTAAACTAACCTTAAAGGCCTCTTCCAGAAGATGCTGATTTCAGGGAGACTTCAGATCCCGGGGAGCCGGAAGACAGAGAAGGGGATCACAGCATAATAATGAGTCGCTGTTGCGGGGCTTCTCTCCCTCTCTCGCACACACGCACGTGCTCTCTGCTACACACACGCATGCGCACAGTTGGATGCCAGGTTAAAAATACGAGCTTCTGCTGCACCACCATTACCTAAGGAAATAGCTGTAATAAAAGGAGAACATCATTCGAAGCACAAAGACCCAGAATCTTAAAGTCAATCTTCAGTTGACACTGTGCTAAGCAAGCAGCATTCATCAAGATTATTGCTCCTAGAATCACACAGAGGAGAGAGGCCTGGGAGGGATTTGAAGAGGCTATTCTTTTTTTTTTTTTTCTTCTAAGAGAGATTTTTGCTGTAGGACGCATGAACTCGCCAGAGAGACAGAGAAACAGAAAGTGAGAAATCAGCCCCTGGGGGAATAGCTATGCTGCAATCCCTTCTCCTCCAGTTTTCTCAAGATTTTGGGCACACATACATGCACATGCGCCCAGCGTGTTTTAAGTTGCTGGGCCCAGGCTTCAAACCATGATCGATTATGTGGAAGTCAAGTGACATAACCATTATGTCATTTGCTGGTCCCTAGAGGCTATTTATTTTATTTTTTAGAGAGAGATTTTTACTATAGGGCATGCGTGCTCACCAGAGAAACAAAGACAGAGAAACAGAAAGCAAGAAATCACCTCCCAGGGGGGTGGCCATGCCGCAATCTCTTCTCCATTCTCCTCTTGGGACCTTGGGCATGCATGCACACATGCCGGACATGAATTTTAAGTTGCTGGGTTTGGGACTCAAACTACTGTCGACTACGTGGGAGTCCAGTGATGTAGCCATTATACCACCTGCTGGTCCCCAAAGAGGCTATTTTTAACTGTCACAGAGAAACCCCCGATTAAAAAAGCAGGACCACTGGGAAAAAAAATTTTTTTTGAAAGATTTTTATTTTGCTATAGGGCGCGTGTGCTTGCCAGAAAGACAGAGAGAGACAGAGGGACAGAAGGCGAGAAATCACTCCCCAGCAGGGATGGCCACGCTGCAATCCCTTCTCCTCCTTTCTCCTCTCGGGATCTTGGGCACGCACGCACATGTGCCCAGTGTGAGTTTAAGCCACCAGGTCCGGGACTCAAACTGCAGTCATCTACATGGGAGTCCAGTGACATAGCCATTACGCTAACTGCTGGTCCCAACCACTGGGAAAATTTTGAAGTGGGAAAAATTTGGATTCTCACTACCTTAAAGGTTATTTGGTACTCTCAGGATGGCTGACCTACAATGCCCAATAATTGACAATGGAGTTCAGCAAAAAACGCTTGTTACTTGTCATAGTAGGAATAAACTGGCAATAATATTAAGCCAACATTGGTGGGGTAGTTTCAGTGGTATTACCAAGAATATTTTTAGAAATTTCACTTGCAATATTCAATTCTACCCTATTACAGTGAGATACAATTAAAAATTGCAAGGGATTCATAAAATAAACTCCAGCTTTATCATCGACAGATATGAGTAGAATTTCCAAATCACTTACCTACGCTGTACAACAGGAGAGTTAATGTGTTAATGTTCTGGAAAAGACCTGAACAAAGCTGCCCTTGAGCATTGATAATATGGACGTTATCTGGTACGGTTAACTGACACAGCAGTGAAATGCCAAAGTATTGATGTGCGGGTTAATATTTCCCAGCTCAAAAGATACCCGATGTTTCATTCCTATTTGCCATCCATTCCATTCATGTGTTTTCCTCGTCATTAATCCCAGCTTTCAGTCTTGCAAAAGTTGGACCCTGGCAGAATGTCATGACCATCCTATCACAAGGCCAGCCAGTCAGGGCTGATGTTAGGGCTGTTCTGGCGGCCATAGTTGTTAGATCTCTGCAGAGACAGCTCAGCCTGCTTTGCAGGAACTAAATTCCACTCAAGGAATCTGTCCATCTTGACAGGCAATGTCGACAAGTGACTTGCTCCAGTTATAAAAAAGGTGCTTACTCTCAGTGCAGCACGTGTTCTGCTTAGAGTACTCCTTACGTGACACCAGGCACACGCTGTCCGCATACTAACCTACCCTGTGACTCCTACTGCTAGAGGTTTCCAGGTACTTAACACTACCGTCGTGCCGGAAGTCACGTACACTTACAGGCTCTCCAGTACCGGGGCCAGCAGGGGGCATGGTAGTTGAGGTGCTGGACTCTCATGTGGCCGACTGTGCTTTATGGACCTGGCAGTTTGCTTTTTCACTTTCTCCCTCTTTCTGATGACTATAGCAAGTTAAAATAATAATAATAATAATAATAATAACAGTAATAAAATTATAATTCTTTTTAAAAAAAGGATATCTAGTACCTTCCAAAATGAGGCAAGCGTAGATAATTTGGGACAGTTTAGAGATAACCGATTCTTTTTCTATATACAGGCTTTAGTCCCCATGGTGGAAATAAACATAAACCACATATGGCAAAATTGACAAAATTAAAGGGAAGGATAGACAGTTCTACAGTAACAGCAGCATCTCAATATCTCAGTCTCAATAGTGGCTAGGACAACCAGACAGAAGACAAGGGACTGGGTTGAGAGGCAACCAACTAGATCTCACAGACAAGCAGACTGCTCTACCCAGCAAGCATAAAAGGCACTTCCTTTGCAAGGGCTCCCCTTCCCACTTTCCCTAATCCCTGTTGCCTTCTTAAGACCTATTTCGCCCACTCGTATGATTGTCTGGGCCCTTGTGCACCTGGTGTTTGAGAGTCCGTCCCCACCTTCTGCAGAACTGTACTCCTCCTCCGGAAGGGACCACTTGGGTTCTCTTCCCCATCTAAGATGTTCCTGAGTCCTTTTCCTAGCTAGATTTAAACTAAATTAAATTTGACCTAAAGCTGACCCCATCCATAGCGAGCTGCAACCTGACTTATCATGTAAGCAAACTGCAACCTAACCTGTTGGCATATTCCTGCCATAGTAACTGAACTTTAGCCAATCACAGGGGACCAAGTGATTAGACCAGGTACCTATGGGAAAGTGCTGAGCTGGAGCCTAGCAAGCTGTTCCTGTGTGGTACATCCATTTTCTGTCTATGAATACTGGTGCCCACCTCTCTCACTCTCTCCTCGTTTTGAGTGTTGCCTGAATCATGGATGGTTCTTTGCTTATGTAAACTCCCCTGAATTTAATTTGTCCAAGAATGTGTGTTTAGACACCAGCATTGCCTTCTTCTCTTGCATTCAACCTAACACCCCACTGCCTCTGTTTACCCATTCAAAACTTGCAGAAAGTGAGGTAGCAAGCCAAGAATGATGACCCAGTGACACCGGTACAGCAGGTCTGAGCATGTACCTTCAAAGGATCTGAGGAAAGAGTAGAGGAGGATCCTGGAGACCTCAACTATGACACAGAGCCAGACAACGTGGAAGCCAAAAGGATCCCAGTTTTCTCTAGTGGGGATTCCCATCATTGCTGGGTCCTGCCTGCTGACATGCACAGACAGCTATGCCCCACCATCAAAAGCACCTAATAATGATGGATAGATGGACAGAGGTCCAGGCCCAGACAGAGGTGTGTCCTTTATCCTGCAGAGGGCCATGTGGGGCTGCCTATGCTCAGGGTGTCAGAAATGGGAGCCAGACATCTCAAACTCCTAACTCCACCAGAATCCTTGTGGACCCACTGCCAGGTCACCAGTCAGTCCCCTGGGAGTATCAACAGCAGTGACAGTTGGTGAGTCTGGGGAATCAGGAGGGAATAAGACAAAATGCAGAGAATGGGGTTTAGATTTTATTGGGGATCAGACAGCACTGGGGCAGGGCCCACACTGAAGGGGCAGGGCCCGTGTTCCAGGCAACACTGATGTTTCAGGGCAGGGCTGGGAGCCCGGGGCTGAGGTCTTGAGGCAGTGTCCAGTTGGGCTGTTCAGGCAGACACACCACCGTGGGAAGGAAGGTCAGGCTGGCTCAGCTCAGGGAAGGGACTGTGCTGAAGAAAAGTGGAACCTGGGCCAGCCCATCACATGGTGCTTAAGGTGGCTGGATCTCACATGGCTGACCAGAGTTCAAGCCCAGACTGGTATCTTGAAAAACATACCAAGCTCATGTGCCAAACCGCGAAAGGAGGGAGCGATGCAGAAGGGACTGTGGTGTGACCGTTTTCCACTGGGGGGAGGGGGGTGCTCTCTAGTGAGCACATGTACCTGCTGGTAAAATTTTAAAAAAGAAAAAGAAAAATGGGACTTGGGGCTTAAAGAACCTGGTCTGAACAGGGGCTAGTGGGAGAAGAGAGGACCAATAAAGCCTTGGGGAAGAGAAGGGGATGAAAAGATGAGAAAGGACTGAGATGATGGAGCCAGAGTGGGGGAATCCAGCAGTTCTCCAGGGCCCTAGGCCACACCCATGCCCAGGCTTACAAGGCCCTACTTGCTGCCCCACACGGCCATCTTTGAGTACACGGGTCTTGGGAGGAAGCGGCTGGACTTCATGTAGGCGGAGATCTTCTTCAGACCCTGACAGTGGGATAAAGAAAGCCAGAGCTCAGAGTCTGCAGCTCCACAGGGGCTCAAGCAGCCCCATCCAGGCAACCGTCAGCACTCTGGGAGCCCTGACAACAGCCCGTCCACAAGGAGTCAAGGGTTCCAGCATCGAGTCTACTCAGGGCCAGCTCTGTGGGGTTTCCTTCAGCTGATGCTGGGTGTTAAAAAGAGGTGGCACTATGGAGACCCAGTCCCGTGCTAGAGCTCACAGCCACGAGATGACAACGAAGAGTTAGAAAGTCCTCTCAGCTGTCCTGCAGCCACCATTCATCCGAAGGGAAACCGAGTACACAGAGGTGGAGCCACTGCCCCTGCTCCCACAGCTGGCAGGCGGGGCAGGGCTGGAAGGCAGCTGGCGCTGTCTCTCTCCATTCTGTGCTCTCTCTACCCCAGGACACCCCCCTTCCCCACAGCAGGCCCTGGCACTCCCCCATCTGCACAAGGACTTTCCTTATCACAGGGAGGCCCCTGGCTGGCCTGGCTTTGCACACAGGGGAGGGATCTCTAGCAGGAAAAGGGGCTCAGAACCTGCCAGTGCAGCTTGGAGGAGCCCACATGTCACCCAGTGACTCAGCAAAACCCAGATGAAAAGGAGGGGGAGGGGACCAGCACAGCAAGGCCAGGCCAGGCTCTGCATTTCCCTCCAAGCAGCAGGGCCAGCTCCTCTGCCTGCTGCCTCAGCCCAGTCTCAGTGAGCCAGCCCACCCCATCTCCTCCCGCATCTGTCACAGGGGACCAGGCTCTGTGACACTCAGCTGTGTTCTGTGCCATTGTACCTGGAGACAGTGCCCAGGCCATTGCTAAAGGTCTCAAAGAGATCTGGGGCCAGCCCAGGCCGCCAACACTCTCAGTCCCCCAGCTCCCCCGCGCCCTCCCAGTCATGAGAGCTCCTGCGTAATCCCCAAGGCCACTGGGCCTGGACCTGAACCAGCGCTGAGAACTAGCTGAGAAGGCAGATCTCCTACTGTGGAGTGGGGCAGGAAAACAGATCTAGGCTGAAAATCTGCTAGATAAAAGCCTCAAGCTATCAAAGTTGTAAAAAATAGCTTTTGTCGCTCTTTAGTAAGTCGACAACAGGTGGCGGGTCCGTAAGGTGAGGACCAGGCTGTGCTCCCTAAGACTCAGGTACCACATGCAGCGCATAGCCCAGTGCACCTGCTGGTCTCTGAGTACTCTCAGGTCCAGGAGGGGGCGCGTCTGCATACACCATGGCTCCTCATATAGAGGAGACCGGTAAGGAGGAATGAAAATAAGTGTACTGCTCCTTTAACAGACAAACACGGGGGGCACCGGAAAGAAGACAAAGATGACGAGAGGGAAGAAAGGACAGTGCCTGCCATCAAATACCTTAAGGCAAAATTTTTCAAGAGAAGCACTTACACATGTACTCAAACCACCACCACCTCCGCCCCTGTGCGCTCAGGGTCTCACCAGCTGTGGGTTGATACGGTATAAGGCTAACTGGATAATGGGTATAAATATTTGTGTGTCTGTGGTACTTAAGCAATCCTACCCTGTGTCAGTCCTACCAAGGTCACCTATACCCTCCCTCCTGGACTGTTCTGCCTCTCTGGCTGTGAAACCGCAGCTGGACCATGGCTCGAGGCTTTACGTCTTGGCACAAAAAAGGGAGCAGCCCTGACTGCTGTTCTCAAAGCCAGAGGCAGAGCGGGAGCCCAGCTCGGCCTCAACGGCTCTGACCTCTGCATTCTCAGTCTCTCTATCTGTAACATGGTAAAGCTTATCTTGGCCTTGGAGGGAGGCTGTAAAGATAACGTAGGGCACAGTAGATGGAAGATGCTAAGCAAGGCCCTGGCAGGAAGCCAGGGTGCAGTAGCTGCTATTATTCCTCCGTTGAGCTCCAGAATGACGAACGCATCATGAATAAGGTGAAGGAAAAAGGACACCCAAGAGGAGCAGACCCAGGGCATCACCTCAAAGCGCGACATGAACTCCTTCAGGTTTGGGAACGCGTCCAGGCACTTGGGCTCAAATATGCGGTGGATGTCAAGGACGTCGTAGGTAAAGAAATCCACAAAGGTGATCTGCAGAAGGCCAGGGGTGAGTGGGCAGGAACTCCGTCCATCACCGAGGAGGAAGGGCAGCCTGCCACCCCCATCTCCCTCCTGTTACCTTGTCCCCTGCAAACCAAGGCCTCTTCCCCAGGAACTGTGAGTACAGCTTCAGCTTGTCAGGTAGCCCCGCCAAGTACTATGGCCTCAGCTTATGCTGAGACAGAAAACAGCTGTCACCACCCTAAGTCACAAAGACCCTGGACAGCGAGGCAGGCCTCCCCCATGCTGTGCATGGCCCTTCTGGCCTCGGGTGAGCCACCATGTTCCCTGAGACTGGGCCGAGTCAGGGCCCAGGCTTCTATGTCCTACATCCGCATTTACTAGACTCCTACTAAGTACCAGACCCCTCTGTCAAAGGCAATGGGAAGTCAGAAAAGAAAATGACACTCTTCTGGAATCTATCACCACTGACCTCCAAGCAGCCTCTTAGGAAAAGACCCAGCAGTGCCCTGAGCCCATGGCAAGCTCTGAACTCAGACTCTGGGCAGGATAATAAAAGCAAAGAACTATGGAACTCAGGGAAAGAAGATGACAGTTCTACCTAGTAGTGTGGCAGAAGAAAGGAACGGACACTGAGCAGTTTCCAGAAAGATTACAGAACTGGATGCTGAAAGTAAGAAGGAAAAAGCAAATGCTGTCGGTAATCCTGAGCAGCGTATGAAGAAAATGTCCTGATCTCTGAAGGTGTCAAGGAGACAGCACTGAAAAAACAGTAGGGAGGGGCTGTTAGGTGGCATGGTGGTTAAGGTGCTGGACTGTGGTTTGAGTCCTGGACCTGGCAGAACTCTCTCTCTCTCTCTTTGGCCAAATTAAAAAATAAATAAAATTACATAAATAATTAGAAAAAAATAAAATACACACACACACATACACACACACACATATATAAAACAGTAGGGAAAAGGCTGGATACCACATTTCCAGCTCCCTTCTTTTCTAGTTTGAGGCTGTGTATTCCAGGAGGAGGTAGGTGGGGTAAGCCAACTGGAGGACAAAGGCCATAGCAGAGGTCAGAGGTCAGAAATAAAACGTTCTCGGGGGACCAGCAGTTAGCGTTATGGCTATGTCGCTGGACTCCCACGTGGGCGACTGCAGTTCGCGTCCTGGACCCAGTGGCTTAAAACTCACGCCAGGCATGTGTGCGTGCGCGCCCAAGATCCCGAGAGGAGAATGGAAGAGAAGGGACTGTGGCATGGTCATCCGCCCTGGGGGATTTCTCGCTTTCTGTCTCTCTGTCTGTCTGGCGAGCACACGCGCCCTATAGCGAACCGCCCCCCCCCCAAAAAAAATAAAGAAATAAAATGTTCTCTGGACTTAAACTTTAAAGTCTAGGAACTGAACTTGTTCTCTGGGGAGTCTATATGTATTAAGATTAGTGGGCGCTGGGACTGGCAGGTGGCATGGTGGTTGGGTGCTGGACTCCTACATGGCCAACCACCTTTCGAGTTCTGGACTTGGCAGCTTGCTTTCTCACTTTCTCTCTCTTTTTGTCTCTTTCTGGTGAGCACTTGTGCCTTATAGCAAATTTAAAAATTAAAGAAAAAGTAATAAATAGGTAATTAAGAAAGGTTAGTGGGCTCTGATTTAGTTTGCATTTGATAGTTTGTTGTTACGAGAGTCACTCTGATGGTAGCATAGGGAACTACTTAGAGGATAAGGATTCAAATGATGAACAAGGCAAGCGTGGATAAGAATCTTAGAGTCTTCACTGCTCATCCATACCCTGCCTTGTCCAGACCAACGGGGGGCATGAGACTCACAAAGTCAGGGCTGTAGCAGACTCTAGCCAGCTCATCGCAGGTATCTACTGCCTGGTTATGCAACATGTCCACGCGGATCCTCTCCTCTTCTGTCTCCCCACCTGTGGCCCACAACAGAGATGCACACTCAGCAGCCCAGCCCACCCAGGCCCAGCGGGACGGCCACCGCGCCCCACCCCCACGGGCAGCCCCACTCACACAGGTTGTGCTTGCGGGCGATGTAGCGCAGGATGGCATTGCTCTGGGTGATCTTGTGAGACCCATCTATCAGGTAGGGCAGCTGCGTGGGCAACACGCAGGTCAGTTGGGCTCCCGGGCTCCCCAGCACCCCGTGCCCTGGGCAAGGAACGAAGGAGACCTGGCCCTCACTGTGCCTGGCCCACACAGGCCCTAAATGAGTTTATACATCAGTGAATGAATGAGCTGGGACGGAGGGCATCATGGGGAGGCAGCGCAGGGAACCAGGAAGAGAGTAGCTGAGCAGAAGGTGCCTGACCCTAAAACCTCGTGGGGAAGACCAAGTGAAAACAAACCTCCCGACCCAATCCCTGTCCCGGGGACCCTCCCAAGGAAGACCACTGGACCACTGAGTCTCACATTCCAAAGTCTGGGGGTAGAAAGGGGCTCTAGCCTGTAAAGGGCTCAGGCTTACTAAAGGTATAGACGGGTCCAAGAGGGGCCCCTAAGTTATCATATAAGGAGCCCCTAGCAATCCCCTCCCAGCCTGCTGGCCTGGAAGGCCACACTGCACCCTCACAGGGCTCAGGGACCTGCAGGCTGCATCTCCAACTGCGAAAGGCCTGCAGAAGTAGCAGCAGGTGGCCAGGCATGGGTGCATGTTTGGGCAGAGGTGCTGTCACCGAGGTCCCGACATTACCATCTCCCATGGAGTATTGCTTTTCCTCATAGCTTGAGTCTGTGTATTCCAGGAGCAGGCGGATGGCGTGAGCCAGCTGGGAGAGATGACCGGTGGTAGGGGAGAGACCTTGACTGCGAGGCTTTACGTCCAGGTGAGTCCCTGCCTACACCTAAGACGCTGCACAACCCTGGTCTCCCCTCGCCTCCCCCCCCAACACAGGCGCACGCACAAGCCGCCCCTGAGTCGGAAAGGCAGCGGGTTCCAGCAGTCCCTGAAGAGGGCGTTGCCATCTCCTGGGACCGGTCCTCCAGCTGTCGCAGTCCCGTTCCCTCGCCTGCGTCCCACCCGCCCAGGTGGACCCCTAGCTCACCCCACGGATGTCCCAGTATCCCAATATCATGGGCATGGTGCAGGTTGCTGTGCACTCTGGGAACGGTCCTCAGCCCGGCCAGTTTGGGACTTTATCCGGGTACTCGGGACTGCCAGGAGCGGGGCCCTGTGATTGGCCCCGCCTCTTGGCCCTGCCCCGCGGGGCTGGTCCCAAACGCGCCTTCCGCCACATTCCACCAGGCGGTAGCGCCGCCGGGGTCCCGCTGCACCCAGTCGGATCCGGCAGAACCTTCCCGCCCTGAGGGTTGAGAAGGGAGCGCTGGGCGCCCAGAAGCCGACGGCAGGTCGCGGGCTCGCCTCCTTCTTCGTCCGCTCCGCGGCTCCCCGCCCATACAAGTTTTCGAGGTCCCAGCGAGTTGGCAGTGCCCTTGGAACACGACAGAGATCATGGCAGAGCAATGCTCTTCTCCCTTTTCTCCCCTCCTGGCGCTGCCGAGCCTTCGCTCCTCGGCCGCCAAGTTCTCTGGGGCTCTGGAAAGGCAGGCTGCGGGGTTCAGGCCCCAAAGGAGTGCCCCTAACTGCAGAGTTTAGTTCAGCACATTTGTCCAGTTCCGTCGCAAGTCAGGTGATCGCCACTCCGCTAAATTGGAGACCCGGGAGGCTGAGTCATGGCAGGTGCTGTTGATTTAGACCCGGCCTGTCCATCTTCTGACGCCAGGCCCAGGCTCAGTGTATGGCCTCTTGGGTCAAGGGAGAGTTGCCGGTAGGTTGGCCCCCAGCGAGGCCATAGCGCCATGCCGCACACCGCCAGTGCCTGCCCTCTGAACATGGTTCTCATCATACATAAGAGTTTGTCTTTATTTTTTAATTAAGCATTTTTTAAAAAAAAATTTAGTTTTTTGCTATAGGGTGTGCACACTAGCCAGAGTGACAGTGAGAGAGAGACAGGAAGGGAGAAATCACACACACACACACACACGCACACACACACACACACACACACACACACACCCTGGGGGGGACGCACACGACAGACTCCTTTCCACACGAATCCCTTCTCCATTCTCCTCTCTGAGTCTTGGGCGCGTGGGCACACATGCCTGGTCTGAGTTTTTTTTTTTTTTTTCTCCTTTCTTTTTTAAATGTCAGTTTTTATTACCATTGCTACTTTTCTTTATGCATTCTTCTTTTAGTCTCTCCCCCCTTTTTAAGAATTATTTTATTTGACTTTATTTATTTTAATTTGACCGGAGAGGGACAGAGTGAGAGAGAGAGAAAGTGAGAAAGCAAGGTTTGGGACTTGAACTGTAGTCGGCCAGGTAGGAGTCCAGTGCTCCCAGCCACCATGCCACTTCTGGCTCCACTGGCATGAGTTTTAAGCCACCGGTCCAGTACTCGATCTATGGTTGTCTATGTGGAAGTCCAGCGATATTGGACTTATGCCATCTGCTGACCCCTAAATTAAGCATTTGCAAAAAAAAAAAAAAAGCCAGGGGGTGCATGCACTTGCCAGAGAAAGAAAGAAGCTGTAGGTGAAAGTACCACTCTCCAAAGAGGAGTGGTCACCCTGAAATCCCTTCTCTTCCATTTCTCTATTCTGTCAGGATTTTGGTCACATGCAAGCATCCAGATGTTTTTTAGGCTGCTAGGCTGGGATTCGAACAATGGTGAGCCACATGGAATCTGGTTATCCTAACCACTAGGCTACTGACTGAACACAGAATAATTTGAAAGACACAGAACAGATAATGTTACACTGGTATTTACCCATTCGGTCATTTCGTTACTGAAAAAAGGGATGGTGAGATCCTAACGAATCTCAGCTCCTAAGGATAAAACAGCCCTTCAAGGAAACTCAGCCCTGAATGATTGGCTGATGCCCTCAGGATGGTGAGGGTAGTCTCCATTGTTTAGTCTACTGATTCAAATGCTAATCTCATCTGGAAAAGTCCTCACAGGTACACCCAGAAATAATGCTTAAGGAGCTAACCAGCAAGCTCCCCTCCCCCATAGGGCACCGTGTTCTCCAGAGATAGAGAGAGAGCAAGAGAGAAAGAGAGAGAGAAAGTGAGAAATCAACCTCCCAGAGTGGATGACCACGCCACAATCCCTTTTCCATTCTTTCAAGGTTTTGGGCATGCATGCACATGCACTCAGGTTGAATTCCAAGCCAGTGGGTCTGGGACTCAACAGTGCAGTTGGCCATGTGGGATCCAGCTCCCTAACCTCTGCACCACCTGCTGACCCCAGGAGCTAACCAGTTTTTTAAAAATGTTAGCTCAGTCGTGTAGACACATGAAATTAGCCATTGCATGTGATAGGAAACCTAGAACAGAATCACAGTTAATTATATTGTGTCTGGAGGAAAAAACAGTTTTGACCACCAAAACTCATCTTTTTTTTTAAAAAAAGACGTATTTAATTGTATGAATTATTATTACTTTTTAAATTTGAAATAGGTCACATGTGTTCACCAGAGAGAGACAGAAAGAGAGAAAAAGTGAGAAAGCAAACCACCAGGTCCAGGACTCAAACTGCGGTTAGCCATGTGGAAATCTATCATGCCACCTGCTGGATCCTCACAAACTCATTTCTTTTCTTTTCTTTTCTTTTCTTTCTTTCTTTCTTTCTTTCTTTCTTTCTTTCTTTCTTTCTTTCTTTCTTTCTTTCTTTCTTTCTTTCTTTCTTTCTTCCTTTCTTTCTTCCTTCCTTCCTTTCTTTCTTTCTTTCTTTCTTTCTTTCTTTCTTTCTTTTTCTTTTCTTTTTTTTTTTGAGAGGTTTTTATGCTATAGGGCATGTGCACTCGCAAGAAAGACAGAGACAGAGAGATAGAAAGCGAGAAATCACCCGCCCCCCAGGGGGGATAGCCACCCCGCAATCCCTTCTCCTCCATTCTCCTCCTTCTCCGTTCTCCTCTCGGGATCTTGGGCAAGCACGCACACGCTCCCAGTGTGAGTTTTAAGCCCCTGGGTCCGGGCCTCCAACCGTAGTCGGCACATGGGCGTTCAGCGACATAGCCATTACCCTAACTGCTGGTCCCCACAAACTTATTTTTTAACTGGTTTCTAAGAATTAACTGAGCCCAACTTCCTGGCTCCTCAGACTCCTTGTCAGAGCCAGCATCCCCTCCTCTTGCTTTCAGCTTTCCCCCTTCCACCACCTCCTAGTGTACAAACACTAACGAGTCACGTATTTTCCATCTCCTCTTTCTAGTTCCTACCTGATGTCTAGTCTTTTTTAAAAAAATTTTGCCATAAGGCACATGTGCTCACAGAAAGAGAGAAAGTGAGAAATTGTCCTCCTAGAGGGGATGGCCGCACTGTAACCCCTTCTCTTCCATTCTCTTCTTGGGATTTTGGGCATGTACACACACACACCTGGCTTGAGTTTCAAGCCACCAGGTTCGGGACTCAAATTATAGCCAGCCATGTGGGAGTCCAGTGCTTTAAGTGCCACACCACCTGCCCAATGATGTCTAGTCTTTAATAAACGAACTAGTCTCCTAGAAGGGTGAATATGAAAATAATATCCATCTTTTTGAGAGATTTTTGCTGTAGGGCGCATGTGCTCACTGGAGAGACAGAGACAGAAAGCGAGAAATCACCGCCCAGTGGTGATGGCCATATGGCAATCCCTTCTCCAGTCTCCTCTCGGAATTTTGGGCATGCACACACATGCACCCGGTGTGAATTTTTTTTTTTAAAGACACATTTATTCAGTGTCATGATCAGACTATTACATTTAGCAATCAACAGCATGGTTGCCAAAGGAAAAAAAAAATCTACATTAAAACCCTTTGTCAGGGAACCAGCAGTTAGCATAATGGCTATGTCGCTGGGCTCCCACATAGTCGACTGTGGTTCGAGTCCCGGACCCGGTGGCTTAAACTCACGCCGGGCGCGTGTGCATGCGTGCCCAAGATCCCTAGAGGAGAATGGAGGAGAAGGGATTGCGGTGTGGCCGTCCACTCTGGGGGGTGATTTCTTGTTTTCTATCTCTCTGTCTCTGTCTGTCTGGTGAGCGCACGTGCCCTATAGCAAAAACCTATCCAAAAAAAAGGAAAAAAAAACAAAAAAAATAAAACCAACAAAACCCTTTGTCAGAATGCTTTACACTTTCCACAGAAAAGAAATTAAAATAACCTGTTATACAATTAGTCACAAATCCAGTCCTCGTGTTTTGTGCTCATACACATGAGTGTTGTCTAAAACAAGTCTTCTCGGGACCAGCAGCTAGCGTAATGGCTATGTTTCTGGGCTCCCATGTAGTCGACCGCAGTTTGTGTCCTGGACCCAGTGGCTTAAAACTAACGCCGGGCACATGTGCGTGTGTGCCAAAGATCCCGAGAGGAGAATGGAGGAGAAGGGATTGCAGCGTGGCCATCCCCCCGGGGGGTGATTTCTCGCTTTCTGTCTCTGTCTCTCTCTGTCTGTCTGGTGAGCGCACACGCCCTATAGCAAAAACCTCTCCAAAAAAATAAATAAAACGTGTCTTCTCTGTAGAAACTGTTGTAAACTGTACCTTCTGCTGTCACTGCTCTGGCTCTCCTCTCCTGCTAAGCTTCATTTCCTGGCAGTTAATTAAAACCTTCTGCTACCAGGGACCAGCAGGTGGTGTGGTAGTTAAGGCGCTGGACATTCCCACATGGCCGACCATGGTTCAAGTCCTGGACCTGGTGCCTTGCTTTCTCATTTTCTCTCTCCCTCTCTCTCTCTCTCTCTGGTCAAATTAAAATGAACAAACGAATAAATAAAGTTAAATAAATAATTCTTTTTAAAAAAAACAAACCAAACCAAACAAACAAACAAAACCTTCTGCTACTGCCATAGTCACCTTGATTTCATGGTTGGCAAAATATTGGCTTCCACTGCCATAAGGGCCAGAGCTTCTGCCTCCAAAGTTTCCAACCTTCATGCGTCCAAAATTTGAAGACTGATTGCTGTAATTGCCAAAATCACTGTAGCCTCCACCACCTCCAAAATTGCTTCCGTCATTTTCAAATCCATTAGAGCCATCCCCACTTCCACCAACTGCCACCAAAGCCACCACAACCACTGAAGTTTCCTCCACGACCAAAGTTGTCATTACCACCAAAACCACCTCCTTGACCACCACCAAAGTTTCCAGAACCACTTCCACCTCTTGGGCTGGAAGAAGCACTAGCCATCTCTTGTTTGGGCAGGGCTTTCCTTACTTCCCAGTTGTGGCCACTCATGGTATGCTATTTCTGAATGACAGCCTTACCCAGAGTCAGGATCATCAAAGGTGACAAAAGCTCTTGCCACTGCCTCGGTCAGTCATGATTTCAATCACTTCAGTTTTCCCAAACTGTTCAAAATAATGTCTTAGGTGATGTTCTTCAGTGTCTTCTTTAATGCCACCAATGAAGATCTTTTTCACAATTTAGTGGTACCTGGTCTTTGAGAATCCTCTCTTGAGACAGCCCTCTTTGGTTCCACAGCTCTTCCATCCACCTTGTGTGGCCTTGCATTCATGGCTGTGTCCACCTACTCCACAGTGGCATACGTGACAAACTCGAAGCCCCTGGAGTACTTGGTGTTCGCATCTCACATTACCATGCATTCTGTGAGCATTCCCTATTGCGCAGGATGGCTCCTCGGGGTCTCATAAGTTGTTTCAAAGCTCAGCGCTCCGATAAAGAGTTTCAGTAGTTGTTCCGGCTCTTTAGGAGACTCCAACTTAGACATGACAGCAGTGGAAAGAGAGACTTCAATGATGATTCCCCAGCGATGGCCACAAGCAGAAAACCCTGGTGTGAGTTTAAGCCGCTGGATCTGAGACTTGAACTGCTGTCGACTACATGGGAGTCCAGCAATGTAACCATTATGTCATCTACTAGTCTCATTATTATTTTTCAATTTGGTGCAGGGCACATATGCTCAACAGAGAGAGAGAGAGAGAGAGAAAGTGAGAGAGAGAGAGAGAAAGTGAGGGAGACTGAGGGAGAGAAAGTGAAAAAGCAAGCTGCCAGGTCTAATACTCAAACCGCAGCCAGCCATGTGGGAGTCCAGAGCCTTCACTGCTGCACCATCTGCTACCCCAGGCCCTTTCTTTGTTTACTCATCTGTTTTCATATATCTATTATCTCTTGTAATATCCTTTAAACAAAAACTACAGTGTAATATATTGTATGTCTTGTCTTCTGCCTTCCATGAACAAAGCTGGAGGATAGACAGTGTCTTGTGAGGCTGTACCACAGGTCACAGATGACAGAGCCATGTCAAGGGCCATTTGGGCCACCCTCTCCAACCCAAGACCACACATAGGTCAGGAGCCAGGGCCAGGGCTAGAAAGGAGACAGGACAGCTGAGGGGTGAGTGGGCGGGCCTGGCCTACCTCAGGTCCCGGTGGGAGTCCAGGGGTCTTCTCTGTGGTCACAACCTCCGTCCACCCCACAGCAGGAACAATAGCTGGCCCCTCAGAGGACAGGCTTTCCCACCGTTGCTCACATTCCCTGAGTGACGAGTGCACTCAAGGTCAATGTTGGGCTCAGTGTGAGGGTCCCCTTGCCCACTGGCAGGGCATTTATGGGGAGGCACCAGGCGGAGTCAGGGTTTAGATTCATAAGCAGTGCCACAAGTCATTGGATTCGTAAGGAATCCATAGCCTGGCAGGTCCAAAGGAACTCTGCTCCCTAAGGAACTTCCAAGTGGCAGAAATCCTGGTCTTCCAGTGGTAGGTGCTGAATCAAAGTCTCGGGTTGGAGCAAGAGGCCTTGCTTAGTCTGATTCCTGCAGCCTGAGTTTCCCAGCCCCGCGGGAGGGCAAAGGCTGAGCACAGCCAAGAGAAGGAAGGCAGAAAGAAGAGCGTTGCTCTTCTGAGACCTGGAGGGATCCCAAAGACACCATCGTGGCGCTAGCAGGGGTCTGGAAGGGCTAGCAGCAGCGGGACTAGGGGGAGAGCGGGCGAGACAGAGACCCGGTCTTTGGTCTTGGCTCGTGGGCCAGACCTCGCTCTCGGAACCCTCAGGGAGGGGAGGCCGAAGTGGCTCTGACTTCTTTCCAGTGGGGGCCCAGAGCCCCGCAGTGGGCTCTGTGGCTTTCAGAAGAGGTGGCAAAAGGGACGAGATTAACTTGGGCTGAGGACAGCAGGGCCGGGGGGCGGGGCCTACCCTGAGGACACCCCCCAGTCAGCGCCGCCCGCCCGGACACAGCACGCATTCCCGCCGGATCTGCAGAAGCCTGTCGGCTGAACGCAAAGCTCTGTTCAAAATAATGTCTTAGGTGATGTTCTTCAGTGTCTTCTTTAATGCCACCAATGAAGATCTTTTTCACAATTTAGTGGTACCTGGTCTTTGAGAATCCTCTCTTGAGACAGCCCTCTTTGGTTCCACAGCTCTTCCATCCACCTTGTGTGGCCTTGCATTCATGGCTGTGTCCACCTACTCCACAGTGGCATACGTGACAAACTCGAAGCCCCTGGAGTACTTGGTGTTCGCATCTCACATTACCATGCATTCTGTGAGCATTCCCTATTGCGCAGGATGGCTCCTCGGGGTCTCATAAGTTGTTTCAAAGCTCAGCGCTCCGATAAAGAGTTTCAGTAGTTGTTCCGGCTCTTTAGGAGACTCCAACTTAGACATGACAGCAGTGGAAAGAGAGACTTCAATGATGATTCCCCAGCGATGGCCACAAGCAGAAAACCCTGGTGTGAGTTTAAGCCGCTGGATCTGAGACTTGAACTGCTGTCGACTACATGGGAGTCCAGCAATGTAACCATTATGTCATCTACTAGTCTCATTATTATTTTTCAATTTGGTGCAGGGCACATATGCTCAACAGAGAGAGAGAGAGAGAGAGAAAGTGAGAGAGAGAGAGAGAAAGTGAGGGAGACTGAGGGAGAGAAAGTGAAAAAGCAAGCTGCCAGGTCTAATACTCAAACCGCAGCCAGCCATGTGGGAGTCCAGAGCCTTCACTGCTGCACCATCTGCTACCCCAGGCCCTTTCTTTGTTTACTCATCTGTTTTCATATATCTATTATCTCTTGTAATATCCTTTAAACAAAAACTACAGTGTAATATATTGTATGTCTTGTCTTCTGCCTTCCATGAACAAAGCTGGAGGATAGACAGTGTCTTGTGAGGCTGTACCACAGGTCACAGATGACAGAGCCATGTCAAGGGCCATTTGGGCCACCCTCTCCAACCCAAGACCACACATAGGTCAGGAGCCAGGGCCAGGGCTAGAAAGGAGACAGGACAGCTGAGGGGTGAGTGGGCGGGCCTGGCCTACCTCAGGTCCCGGTGGGAGTCCAGGGGTCTTCTCTGTGGTCACAACCTCCGTCCACCCCACAGCAGGAACAATAGCTGGCCCCTCAGAGGACAGGCTTTCCCACCGTTGCTCACATTCCCTGAGTGACGAGTGCACTCAAGGTCAATGTTGGGCTCAGTGTGAGGGTCCCCTTGCCCACTGGCAGGGCATTTATGGGGAGGCACCAGGCGGAGTCAGGGTTTAGATTCATAAGCAGTGCCACAAGTCATTGGATTCGTAAGGAATCCATAGCCTGGCAGGTCCAAAGGAACTCTGCTCCCTAAGGAACTTCCAAGTGGCAGAAATCCTGGTCTTCCAGTGGTAGGTGCTGAATCAAAGTCTCGGGTTGGAGCAAGAGGCCTTGCTTAGTCTGATTCCTGCAGCCTGAGTTTCCCAGCCCCGCGGGAGGGCAAAGGCTGAGCACAGCCAAGAGAAGGAAGGCAGAAAGAAGAGCGTTGCTCTTCTGAGACCTGGAGGGATCCCAAAGACACCATCGTGGCGCTAGCAGGGGTCTGGAAGGGCTAGCAGCAGCGGGACTAGGGGGAGAGCGGGCGAGACAGAGACCCGGTCTTTGGTCTTGGCTCGTGGGCCAGACCTCGCTCTCGGAACCCTCAGGGAGGGGAGGCCGAAGTGGCTCTGACTTCTTTCCAGTGGGGGCCCAGAGCCCCGCAGTGGGCTCTGTGGCTTTCAGAAGAGGTGGCAAAAGGGACGAGATTAACTTGGGCTGAGGACAGCAGGGCCGGGGGGCGGGGCCTACCCTGAGGACACCCCCCAGTCAGCGCCGCCCGCCCGGACACAGCACGCATTCCCGCCGGATCTGCAGAAGCCTGTCGGCTGAGCGCACAGCTGCCCGCACCATGCCCATGATATTGGGGTACTGGGACATCCGCGGGGTGAGTGCCGAGTTCCGGCGGGGTGGGGGAGACTCGGGGGCGGGGCCGGGGCAGTGGGAGCAGCTGGGGGACTGGGACTGGCGCAGGAGATGGTTCCTCTTCAGGACCTGCTGGAAGCCGCTGTCCCGCTCAGAAGCTGGAGTGCGCGTGCCTGAGTGTGTGGCAACAGGGCCTCTTGACTCTGACCCTGCCGTCTCTCCCAGCTAGCCCATGGCATCCGCCTGCTCCTGGAATACACAGACACAAGCTATGAGGAAAAGCGGTACACCCAGGGCGACGGTAATTCCACCCACCTCTGCCCAAATCACGCTGATTCAGTACTAAGCACCCATGACCCGCCACCTGCTGCTACCCCC